ATATATATTATTATAAATATATATATATATATATTCCATATATTTTATATATATATATATATTTATTGTTTATATTACAAATTTGGGTTTTGTCTTTGGGTCGCCAAAAAATTTTTAAAATTTAAAACACACCTTTTCTAAATTTTAATTGCTGCATATTCAGCTCTGAAAAACTTTATATATTTTTATCATATACATATATATATATATTATTTTTAATTATATTTTAAAATCTTTTTTTCTATTCTGGAATTATTTTTAAAAATGGCAAAGTATTAAATGTTCAATTTTTTTTGAAATGGCCTCAATGAAAAAAAAAAAATTAGGTCATTTTCGATTTTCACATCCTTCTGAAACATTCGTTTTAATCTATTTTTTAAATTTTCATAAACTGTTTAATTTAAAGATATATTTATATTATATATATATATATATATATATATATATATATATATATATATATATATAAATTTGGTGGAAAAAAATATTCGTATATACAAATTTTTTAATTTATTGTATTTTCAACTAATGAATAAACATACTTTTCATATAATTAACTTTACACAGATTGCATAATAACTAAATATGCATAGAAAACAAAAAATTGATTTAATAGAAATAAATCCCATTTATCCATTTTAATGGGTGAAAAAATTATTCATGTAATAATACAAAAAGAATATATAATCTTCATTTAATACTTTTGTAGAATAGCCATTATTCATTCTACAGCAAACCAACCTCTTCTTGTAGTTCTCAATTAATGATTTGCAAATTTTTAGTTGGTTGGTATTTTGTTCCATTCTTCTTCGCATATGGTCTTCAGATCCAGGATGTTTGTTGGAGCTCTCGATTGGATTTGAATTTTCAAATAACGCCACAGATTCTCGATTGGGTTTAAATCTGGGGACTGACTTGGCCATTTCAGGATATTTACATTATTTTCAGCAAGCCATTTCTTCGTAGATTTTGCAGTGTGTTTAGGATCATTATCTTGTTGGAAGATCCAATCAGGAGGAAGTTCAAGATTTTCAACCAAAAATCATTAAATTTGCTTCCAAAATATTTTGATATGCTGCAGCATTCATTCTACCATCTATTACTGATATGTTGCCAGTACCTTTTGCAGAAAAAACATCCCAAACCATGATGCTGCCACCACCAAATTTCACTGTTTGGAACTGTGTTTTTTGTTTGAAGGCATCGCCATCTTTTCCTCCATACATGATTTCTAGAATTACGTCCAAACAACTCAATTTTGGTTTTGTCTGTCCATAATACTTTTCCCAATACGATTTTTTTTTTTATCCTTATGTTCACGAAACGAATTTCAACCTGGCATCTCTGTGTCTTTTCAATAGCAGTGGAGTTTTTCCGAGGGAGCGTGACTTTAGATTGTTCCTATGAATTTCATTGCTTATTGTCCGTTTAGTGACACAGATTCCTGATGAAAGCAAATCATCCTGCAACTCTTGACGAGTAACCATTGGATTTTTTTTAATTTGACGCATTAATTTCCTCGAAGATCTTGAAGAAATCTTCCGTGGAGCACCTGTTCTTTTTGGTTTTCAACAGTTTTGAGTTTTTTTACCTTGCAATGAATGAATGAACTAATGGTAGTAAATGGAATATTCAGGTTGTCTGAGATTTTCCTGTAACTTTTACCTTCTTTCCAGAGCTTAACAATCAGTTCTTTTTTTGCAAATTTGTCAATTCTTTTACCTCTTGCCATGATGAAAACCTTTCTTGCACGAAATATCAATTACAGAATGTTCTGTTTGTATTTTTTAGGCTAAAAATAACTACTGATAAATTATTGGAACATTCTAGAATATTCCACTTGAATAATCTAGAGTATTAAAAAGCAATTTAAAAGTTTTAAAATCTGAAATTTGCATTGTACGAATATTTTTTTTTACCATTAAAATGGATAAATGGGATTTATTTCTATTAAATCAAAATTTTTTGTTTTTATGCATATTTAGTTATTATGCATCTGTGTACAGTTAATTATATGAAAAAAGTATGTTTATTCATTAGTTGGAAATACAATAAATTAAAAATTTTATGTGTACGAATATTTGTTTCCCCACTATACATTATATATATTATATATATAATATATATTACAGATATTTAAATGAAAAGATATATAATTTAATTTAAATTAAAATGTATATATATTGAATCTTCAAATTTATCATTTTTATTTATTGAAATAAAAAACAAAAAATTTTGAAATGTATTTATGGAGATATTTTATAATTAAGTAGAAAATATGAACTCTTATCCTAATTTTAGAAACTTAAATATTTAAATAAATATTTATGTAATTAAAATATTTAAAATATTTTGATGAATATTTGTTGCATCCTGTGAATTTCCTTAGATGATTCAGAATAAATATATAATTTTATAAATATAATATATATATATATATATTCTATTATATTGTTTTTAAATTTGAAAGAACAGATGCAAAATGAGATCTTAAAAATTTGAAATTTTATAAGAATTATTTCAATTTGCACTGGAACATTATGGCGTTTGTTGACCACATGCAATTTCCAAATTTTTTGGCAATTCGCTGAAAAATTGAAATAAGTAAATATTAACGTGGCATACGTTTTTAATACATTAGAATATTTAAAATTATTTGATTCATCAATTTGAATTCAGATTTGAATTGTCATAAACCTGTTAAAAGAAAAAAGAAATGAAAAATTTATTGTCAAAAATTTGATAATTATTCAATCATTTTCAGATTAACGACTTTTTCAGAAACAATTTTCCCCTTCCGCAATCTTTTTATATATTTTTATATTAAGAAATATATTTGATAGAAAAATGAATAAAAAAATAAATAATGAAAATTTATCTTAGAATAATCTTTTAATTTTTTTTGGCATTCTAATATGGTGTAAATTATTTTTTCAATTTTCTCCTTTAAATATATCTTTTTTATTAATTTATTTTGGCCATAAAATAAAATTGTAATTTTTTTCCATAAAATATTCTTTGGTACATTTTTTACGTTTTAATTTAAAATTTTCATAAAAAATTTTTAATGAATAAACGCTTCTACAAATGCTGGTTTGGGTATTTTGGAAAAAAATTTTTAAATTTTTAAATAAATTTACTTTTCTTTCATTTCATATTTATTTTTGTATTATTTTGTTGCAAATTAAACTGTTAAAATATTAAATGTCAAAACTACCATTCATTTTAAATATATATTTCATCTTTGAACCATTTTTTTTATTCATTAATGTTTTGAATTATAAAAACACATATTTGAGAAATGTTTTTTTAACAAATATTAAAAAACTAGATGATTTAAATCAATAAGAATATATCTTTGAATAATAAATAAACCATAAATAAAATATTTTTAAAATTTAAAAATTTTAAAATATTGATGTGTCCATGATTAAAATAACAAATTTTACAAAAGAAATATACAAATCGAAAAAAAATTTGAAAAATTTTTATAAAAATTTAAGAATATTAATAAAAATGGGGAACATTTTTGGTTAAAACTTTTTATAATATTAATTTGAATAATTTTCTATCATCTATCTAGTTCTTTTTTTGGACTCTAAATATATATATATATATATATATATCAATCCCTAGATATATCAATGTTGCATTTAATTATATCTATATGTGGATAATTTTTGGAAGCTATAATTTTTTTTATCCAATAAATAAAATTTATATTTTCCATGAGTCCAATGGAGCATCTCATTATGCTAAAGTGGGATAGTCCATTGCTTGGGCTGTGATTGGCTGCTGGTAAACTGAGTGAAGTATTTCTATATAAATACCAGCTTTTTTCTCAGTTAGTTTGCAGAGTTTGTATTAAGTTACAACCTGCTTTATTTTTTAATAGCCAGCTGGACGCTAGCTGGGAAAATACAAATAAGTGTTGTTTATTATTGTTATTCTACATATATATATATATATATATATATATATACAGAGATAGAGAGACAGACAGACAGATAGATAGAGAGAGATTACTTCAGGTGTTATTATAGTAGATACTTATATTTAAAATAGACACCACATTTTTATTTTAAACAATGTGTATTATATCTATTGGCCTGTCTGCATATTGGAGAAATCTTAATGAAGAAAATGTAAAAAAAAAGGAATGGAACCCTTGTCCCCCTTTGTATTTATTATGACTATCATTTGCTTTTACCAATCAGCTATGAAGTTAAACAAGGAGTTCTCTTGAAGTAATAAAAAACATCAGATTCAAAATAAAAATTAATTCTTTTAGAAATATATATCAGTGTGGACATAGCAATCCACACTGTATTTTATTTAGTTTCATACCAAATGCAATCTTCAGACCAAGTGTCACAACTTCTTCAGCAGACTCTATATGTAGATCACTGGAGGTTTAAGGAAAAAGGAGGAAGGAGGAAATCAACCATTCTCAATTCTTTTGAAGGACTAATCCATGACTTATTTATAATCATGCCTTCTAGAGATTTCCAATTTTTCCTCTACAAATATAGCAAATTTTAGACATATATATATATATATATATATATATAATGTGTGTGTGTGTGTGTGTGTGTGTGAATATTTGTCATGGAGCTAAACTTGCAGACCATTACCATTGAACTGAGGTGAATCTTCAATTAGCATTCTACATTTGAGGCCTTGTTTTAAACACAAGCTTAGTAAATACCTACACACACAATTTATTAATTAGAATTTTATTTTGATCATTGTAATTGTCTTTTTGAATTAATTATTTTATGTTAATCTTTGATGTCCACTTTTCTCAATGTTATTCTATCTTTTTTTTTTACTGCTTCTGTAGCTTGTGCCCTAAGTTTAATGTGATTAACTAGTGAGAGACACAGATCTTGTAGCATTGATGACACCAAAAATGCATAATGAGCAAATAATGTACTGTGTATTGGGGTGGAGAATATATAATAAAACAATGTGGGGGGTGAGATGAAAAAGAGGAACAATTATGAAAAGAATAAAGATTTCAGAAAAATAGATAACTGCATTAAAATACTCATTTTGGGGTTTAGATTTATTGATAAAGTGTTTGAAGGAGATGCAATAGAGTGTTTAGAAAGATTGGATGATACATAAAAATATTGAGCAAATGTGAGAGAAAGTGAACCTAATATAGAAAGGAAAAATGGGAATGTTAAAAATAGGGGAGACACCAGAGAGAGAGAGAGAGATAAATGCAAAGAGATATCAGAGAAAATAGGGGAGACACTATATAAATAGACAAGTAGTTTGAAGAAGAGGGAGACACTAAAGAAAAAGACAGGGAGGGACACCAGAGAGAAAAAATTCAGGGAGACAACAGAGCTCCATCTTTTCAGAGACTCCAGACAGAATGAGAGGTAGAGACTCCAGACAGAGAGAGAGAGAAAATTTTTTACAGAGATTAAGTAAAAACTCCAGACAGAGAGAGAGAAAAGTAGAGACTCCAGACAGAGAGAGAGAAAAACTAAGACTCCAGACAGAGAGAGAGAGAGAAGTAGGTCACTCCAAAAGAGAGAGAGAGAATTTTCTCCAGACAGAGAGAGAGAACAAGACTTAGACAGAGAACAGAGAGAGAAGAGAGAAGACTAGAGAGAGAGAGAAAGAGAGAGAGAGAGAGAGAATCAACAGAAAACAGAGAGAGAGAGAGAGAGAGAGAGAAGTTAGACAAAGAGACAGAGAGAGAGATTGATTCCAGAGACAGAGAGAGAGAGAAGAAATAGAAGACAGAAAATTATACACTAAGTTCAGGGAGAAATGAATAGAGAGAGAGAAAACAGAGAAAAACGACACCAGAGAAAGAGATAAGTAGAAGACATCAGAGTGAGAAATAGAAGTTTACACTAGATTGATGGGGAGAGAGAGAGAAGACATCAAAATAGAGATAAATAGGGGAGACATCAGGGAGAGAAATAGACATCACACCAGAGTGAGATAATGAAACAACAGAGAGGGATATAGAAAAATAAAGGGATACATGAGAGAGAGAGAAAAAATAGGAGATATTAGAGAGAGAAATGAGGATACATGGAAGAGAAAAAACAACATCGGGGACACCAGAAAGAGAGAGAGATGAAAGAATAGATGGAAACAACACAGAGAGAGAGAAAAAAGACACAGACGGAGAACCAGAGAGCAACAGAGAGAGAGAGAATAGAGAGAGATAAAATTAAAAAAAAAAATACATGCAAAAAAGTAATAAAAATTAATGTGTGATTGAAGGTGTATGTAACATAATGGCTATGAAAAAAAAAAGAAAATGAATCTGCTAACTGAATTCATTTTAGAACAAAACTTATAATCACTTTAATATCTTTGAGAAAGGCATCAATTTGTTTCACTGTCGTCTATACCACTGAAAAAAAAAAAAAAAGTACCCGTTACTGGCATGCATTGACAGTAAACATATATAAGGAAAGTGGATGATTAAGTACTTTCAAAACTGCTAAAATGCTTGTATAGACTTTATTGTAAACCTTTTGGCATGGCCTAAATCATTATATCAAAAATAAAGCATAGTGAGTGCTGCTGGTAATAAAATAGTGCTTGATGTTGAATAACAGAGCTAAAATTTATACTAAGAATAAATTGACAAGTATAATCTTGGTCTATCTAAGTTCTGGGTTAACCAATATCTATCTTACTCATCTTCATAAATCGCTCTTATTTCCCCTTTAAATCTCACTCAGTAACCCTCTAACTTTGCATGAACCTTAGACCTTGTATTTGGTTAACTATCAGTTATATATATATATATATATATATATATATATATATAGTTAAATTATGAAGAACTTGGTAATCCATATGGGTAATCCCAAGGAAGTACTATCTGATGATCTGGCATCCTTTAAAAGGGCTCTGGTGAAATAAATTATTATAATGGTACCTTAAAGTGGTCTGTTTTTCTTTTAAATTTATATATATATATATACAGATAGATAGATAGATAGATAGATAGAGATCATACAATAGGATCTTTTCAATTATGATTCCAGTAATCCAAAGTTGGACCAATCAGCAAAACCTTCATTTAACTAAAATTACTTTGTTTTGTTCTGCATTGAGCTCTGAAGAGGGAGGAGTTGTAACCAGTTATCTTTTTATTTGTTGTTTCTTTTTTGTTATATTTTTTTTAACCATTTTGTGATGAGTGATATCTTTTCTTATCTTTGCTCTTTCTCCTTTTTTTTTTGATAATGGCCTAGGGGTAAGATATCTGACTGATGTCAAATCAGTTGGGTTTTGATCCTGGCTTGAAGAAATCAGATGTCTAGCCACACCAAGGATCTGTGATACAGTGAAACTGTCTGTTGATGACAATATATGCTCCTGGAAATTCGGTTGAGCTCTTGAGAGAAAGGATGTTTTAAAACAGTGGCTCCTACTGCTATTAAAGTATGAATTGAGTTCTCTGAGCCACTGGCGTATTTTGTATAGAAAAAAACATTAAAATTCCTTCCTTTCTGCCATGCGGTGATGGCTTAGGGTAAGATATCTGACTGATGTCAAATCAGTTGGGTTTCGATCCTGGTTTGAAGCAATCAGATGTCTAGCCACACTGAGGAGCTGTGATACAGTGAAACAGTCTGTCTGTGGATGACTATATATATATATATATATATATATATATATTATTTATTCAAAAATATGATTCCATCGCTACATAAGAGTTCTCATGTTTCAAAACAAGAGCCGAAAACTTCAATATATATATGTGTGTGTGTATGTATGTGTGTGTGTGTGTGTGTGCATGTGAATATCTACTTTTTAAAATATCTTTTTTGAATTCATAATAAAATCTTGTATCCTCCACACATCGTTTAAAACTACTTTGAAAAATAAATTTCAAAAGAATAAAAACATAGACATAAATATTCAATAATACAGTTGCTTTGAGAATATAGACACAAATTTAAATGTCGCTGAAGCCATCAGCATCTGAGTAACCAGCTACTGAGATAAAGGCTAAAATTAATAAGTTTTCTTAATTGACTACTGAAATGTTAGACTCTTTAACTTCCTTTTTTATAGTTGGTTAGCTGATTTAGTTATATATTTCTTAGTGGGGGAATTGTGTCCGAACTATCCCCAAATGGGATTCATATGGTATTTTTTTTGAAAATTTAATCATACTTATTATCCATGGATTATACCATCCGTGGGGAACCTATCTACCCCAGATAATGAATTCTTACTGTGTGTGTGTGTGTGTGTGTGCAGAGAAACAGAAAGAAAAAAGAGAGACAGGTTGGAGGACAACAAAAAGACCAACAGTTGGAACAGTTATAATAACTTAATAACCCGGACGAAATCGTGCGGATTTTTAAAAAAATAAACCCAATCATTTCCCATCCCAAACACAGGCACACACCTTTTCCCAACAAAAAACCCAAAAAATACGAAAAAAACCCCCACTTTTGACACCGCCCCCAAAACAGGGGGGAAGGGGAAAAACCCTAAAAAAAATAAAAGGAAGGGGGGGTTTGGGAATTTTAAACCTAAAAAAAAAAGAAAAAAAAAAAATAAAAAGGCCCTTTTAAAAAAAAATACCCCCAAAGGCTAAAGTTTACCGGGAATTTGGAAAAATTTTAAAAAAAATTCCAAAACCTTCTTTTTCTTTCCGGGTTTTAAGGTTGTTTAAAAAAAGCAGGGGAAAAAATTTTCCCCCATAAACCCCCTTTCCCCGGGGCGCCCAAATCCATTTCAAATCCAAAGCCCCTTTTTTTCCAGCCCCCCATTGGGAAAAAAGAACCCCTTAACCCCTTTTCCCGGGGAACCATGGGTTAACCGCCCGGCCTTTCCTCCTAAAAACTTGCCCTTTAAAGCTGATTTTTGAAAAAGGATTTAGCTTTTGGAATTTCCCCTTTAAAAAATCCTTTGCCCCCAAGGGGGTTCCCAAATCACAAACTTTGGCCTAATGGCAGAAAAACCGGGCGCCTTTTTTATCGGGACCCTTGTTTCAAACGGAACTGGCTTCGGGACAAAAAACTTTCTTTTAAATGGGGGAAAAACCCCAGGGAACCCCAACCCCAAATTTGGCCGCCCTTTCATAAAAAAGAAGGCGGGGAAATTTGGTCTTTGTTCCCCGCAAAGCACCGGGGTTTGGGAAAAATTTTTTCAAGCCTTTTAAAAACCCCTCTTGCCCACCCAAGGGAAAAAAGAATCAACCCGGGGTTTTTGGGGTAAATGTTAGGTTTTTTCCCAGAGGCCCCAAAGGGGGGGCCCATAATCCAAAAAAAGGTTTCCCCCTTTAAAGAAAAAAGTCGCCAAATCAATCTTTCTTTTGGGAAAACAAATTCGTTAAAAATATAATGTTTGAAAAAAACCCGCCCTTTTTTTGGGAGAGCCTCAAAGCCCAAAGGGGAAAGCTTCCCCACCCGGACCCTAATTCATTTCAAAAACCCTGGGACAGGTAAACAGCCGGTTCTTTTTCCCCTTTCGGTTTCCAGAAAAAAGGGCCCCGGGGAAAGAAAACCCCTTTCCCAGGGCCCCCAAAACCGCAAGCCCACAGTTTTTGGGGTTGATCCGGGCCCCCTTTACCATCTCATACCCATTGATTTCTTTGCTGATTCTCCAATTTTTGGCTCTGCTCGACCAAAAGAGCCGAAACGTCGTAAACATAGGCAAAAATACCTGGCCGGTTGGTAGCGCCAGGCGGGGGAAATTTCCCCGGGGGCCCGGGTTTTCCCCCCTTTTAAACCCAAAGGAATGGTTCCAACGCAAGAACGTAAAGCAAGGGGATAGGGGAAACCCAAAGGGAGGGGGAGAAATTACGAAAGTTTCCGACCTTACCCCTTTCCCTTTCACCGCCCCGGGGGGTCTTTACAAAGTGGGATCCAGGAGCGAAAGTCCCCCAAAACCGGCCGACGGGAAAGGCCTAAAAAACCGGGATGGTAAACCCCATGGGGGGGCCCGGATGATCAAAAATTGATCAGCGCGGTTTCCTGTCGACGTTTTTGGAACGGCGTACCATATGAAGGTTATCCGGAATCGTCCTGCCCTTAAAAGAAAAAGCCCGTTCGGGGGCCAATCAGACGAAAAAGGACAAGCTAAAATTGGCTTAAGATCTTGAAACCCCCTTTTAAGCGTTTTTAAATTAAAAGGGCAAAGCCCCAACCCATCCCCACCATTTTTGTCCTTACGCAGAAACGTCCACCCCTGGGAAAGGGTTTGGGGGGGACCCTGCCCCATCCGGGGTTTAAATAAACTGCAGAAAGGAAAAAAAATGGGGACAGCCCCGACACTTCTTTAGGAAGTCCATTAGCCCCGGGTTTTCCCCAGGCCAACCTGTTTCCGCATCCCAGTTTTCCGACTTTTTGGGACCCCGCCCTTAGCTCCCTTTAAAAAGGCGGGAAAAAAACCAAATGGCGTCGGAATGAGCCGAGCCAGCCCGGGGCCCCCTGGTGAAAAAGATCCTGAAAGAAAAGGAAAAGGGCCCCGCATATGCCCGGCTTGAGCCGTTCCCGCTTATCCGGCAATTGACGCCCCATATTCGCTTATCCGCTTTCCCGATTTTCCCCCCCAATTTCCCGGGGATATTCCCCCTTTCGAAGACTTTTTTTTTAGTCCCCCAAAATTACCAGAGCTTGATCCTTCTTGATAAGCAAGGGGGGCTCTCTTTTTTAGCTAAGACTATGCCCCCCACTAACACGGGTTTTAAACAGCCCGATCGACCTTTTTCTAAAGGGCCTTTGGCCCCTCGTCTATCTAGATTGGGGAACCAAAATCCCGCAAACGTTCCCAATTTTGATTTTAATTTTTTTCCCCCCCAGGCGTTAACCCCCCCGCCCCCCCCAATTCCCCCTGAATTATTTAGAGGGTGGTCCCGGAAATTCCTACCAAAAAGTGGTGGGAAAGTAACCTATTCTAACCAAATTTAGTTTCCCCGGGCCCGAAAAATTTTTGATCCGTATAAAA